CCTGCTTGGGTCTACCGCGACATTGCAAAACCTGGGCTGAAGGTAAGATCCTCGAATCTTTTCATCCTAGAAGCTCCCACAAAAGTCAAACCCCTGGAGAACTCCCGATGACCAATGTCAAGAATGACCTTCTAAAAGGTTGGACCCGAAAGATTGACTAGCTGTTGAGGACGAGCGGCCTCTGCGCCTGGGTCGAAACGAGAATTGACGCGTGCACTATTGCGGCTCGCGCAGGTTGGGCTGATGATGCTGGAGAAGGAGTATCAGCAGGGGCTGGTATCGGTGCAGGATCTGCAACTGGAGCTGGGGCGGGAGTTGGGCGGGAGAGGAGTGCGCTGTCTATCGCTGCGGCGAAGAGGGGCTGGATCAGGTCGAGAGCGTTTCTGAGCGGCGGAGAGCCTTGTAGAGGTGCGTGTAGTGGGTGGCATGAGTTGAGTATGAGTTGGTAGATGATTTGATTAAATCCAAGAAGAAGGCCAGAAACGCGAAATGATAGAAAGAAAACGCGTCAAAAAGTCACTCAAGCCAACAAAAAGCAAGTGATGGTATGGCAGAAGACGCGTCAAAAGGGGCGAGTCGCGGGGGACTTGAAGCCAAAAAGGGCACATCTGAGGCAAGTCGTACAAGCATGCATAGTGAATTTAAAACCACATTATTGAACCGCCAGTCAAGGGTCATCGAATGCAAGGATGTTCGAAGCTCTACAATGAATGACGATTGAGAACGATGGTAGCATCGAAAAGGTCATAATCACAGAAAGAGTAAACCAGTCATTCCTCTCCCTTTCTATGTTCTCCCGTGCTCCAACATGGCCTCCTCCTTCGCCCAAATGTCTTCCGAAAAACTCGCCCAACTCCAGACCCAGCTCCCCGACATCCTCACAGACGCAGAGAAGCTCTTGCCGGAAGAGAAGAGGAATGAAGTGATTCGGGACAAGATGCTGGCGCGGATTATGGCGCAGGGGCAGCATAAGATGCAGCAGCAAGGGGCCGGGATGGGGATGCAGAGCCCGATGATGGGGATGCAGCAGGGGATGCAGAATGGAAAGATCCCAGTCAACCAAAGCCAGCTCGTGTGTCCCCCCTCCCATACCCACTAGCTTTCATACTGATAGGACTACAAGGCGTACCAAGAACAGCTCCGCCACCAACTCCAACAGCAGCAGCAGCAACAACAACACCTCGCCATGCAATCCCGCCTCCAACAACAATCCGCCGCTGCCCAACAAAGCCGCACTGGCACACCCAGGCCAACGCAGCCGATGACGCCCATGCCGCAGGGGCCCATCAACACGGCTTCGCCCCAGTCGCACGGCGGGATCGTCTCGCCGCAGGTCATCCGCCAGTCGCCCAGCACCGCGCCGGGAAGGCCGGTGGGGCTGCCGATGCAGGGGATCAAGACGCTTATTGACAATTTCCCAAAGCTTATGGAGCTGAAGAGGCAGGGGAAGCTGAAGCCGGAACAAGAGCGGCTGGTGAGTATCTTTGTCCCAAACCTCCCGATGGGCCTTGCTGACTGGGGGGTAGTTTGATCAATTCATGTCGAGCCCGGATGGGCAAAACCACCTCCGAGAATTCCGAGCGCACCAAGCTCGTCTGCTAGTAGAACGCGGCCTGACCAACCCCGTCGCCCATCCCGCCGGACTCCAACCCCAACAAACCCCCGCTATGAACAACATGCAGCTCCCCCTCGCTGCCCAACAACAGCTCGCAGCTTTGCAACAACAACAGCAACAACAACAGCAAAACCAACAACCCTTCCCCCTCAACCCCCAGACCCAATCCCAATCTCTCCAAAACCAACTTGCTCCCCAGTTCGCGCAAAACCTCGCAGGCGCGGGGTTGCACCATAATCAGAATCAGCTGACGCCGCAGCAGATGCAGGCGCTGCAGTTGCAGAGGCTGGCGGCGGCGCAGATGCAGGCTGCGCAGAATGGAGGACGGGCAGGGATGGGGGGCCAGGGGTTGGTGCCAAATCAGGCGATGATCAACCAAGCTGCCCTTGCGCGCGCCGCGCAACAGGCTCAGGCGCAACAGCCTCAGAACGGGATGATGGGCATGTCGCCCCATATTGCTGCTCAAGCTCAAGCCCAGGGGCAAGGGCAGGGGCAGTCCCCGGGCGGTTTTGGAAGTCCGAGGCCGGGGGCGAGACCGCCGATGTCGTTACAGCAGATGTTGATCAATATCCAACCTTCCATGTCGCGCGTAGCGCCGGATAAGGTGGAGAGTGTTAAGGCGATGTTGATGAGGTTGGCGAATATGAGTGATGAAGAGAGGGATGGGGCTTTTAAAGCTGTACGTTCTCCTTCCTCTTCTTTCCTTTCCTTTTCTCTTGTGGTTTTGGCGGGGGCTGATGATGGGAACAGAGCCCGCAGTGGATCCCACTTTGGAACAGAGCGACGGGGGGTGGGAACCAGAACCAACTCGCCCAGCAAGCCGCCCAACAAGCCCAAGTCCAAGCCGCCCAACAAGCACACGCCGCCGCCCAAGCCCAAGCTGCCGCCCAAGCTGCAGCCGCCGCCCAAGCACAAATGACCGGCTCTCCACACGTCGGCCTCCAAAACGGTACCCCCATCATGCGCCCCGGGTCCGCCCCGGCGGTGGCGGGGTTCAACGCCATAAACAATGTCTCGAATTTACATATCCCTGCTGGGAAAGCGAGGGGGTTGCAGGGGCAGGGTGTGGCGGCGGGTTCGCCGAATATGAGGCTTTTACAGCCTGCTGGGGATGGACAGCAGCAGCTGCCACCGGGATTACAGGCGGATCCGAGTATTGTGCAGAGGTTGTTGGAGCAGGGGATTCCGGTACAACAAGCTGCTCAGGTGTTTGCGAGGCATCAGCAGCAACTCGCTGCTGCCGCTGCTGCTGGGGGGAACCCCGCTTACCCGGGGTTGGCGGCGCAGCATCCGTCGGGTGGGACGCCCCAACCACAGAGAAATATTACGCCGGCCATGCTTCTCGCCCAATACTCACACGACATGCCTTCCCGTCCCCCTCCCTCCCGCCCCGAACAGATCGTCCCCGACGCACCCGCGCCGACGGACCAATCCCTCTCCATCCTCTCCCGCGCTTCGTGGGTGCCAAACTACACTGACGACGTCCGCGTCGAGAGCATGTTTAAACCGCAAACCGTAGCGGAGACTGGGAGCAGGACGGTAGGAAGGGGCACGTTGGGGTGGAGGAGGGTGGATCGGGAGGGGGTTGATGATTGGCCCGAAGGGCTGCGGGAGGCGGTGGATGAAGAGGCGGAGGATGAGGAGGGGGAGGAAGGGGAGGGGAAAGGGCGGGCGAGTGGGATGCCGGGGCAGAAGAGGAGGAAGGTGCAGGAGGTGGCGGAGGAGGTTGATAAGGCGCTGAAGATACCGAAGGATTCGGAGACTGTGAGTTTTTCTTTTGCTGGATGCAGAGGGGAGAGGAGCTGATGAGGGGGTAGTTGTTGTTGGAGCTGTTTGATGAGCATTCCGATGTAATCTCCGAGGCGAGCTGTATGCTTGCCAAACACCGAAGAGCGACCACGCTCGACAGAAAAGATATTCAACTTTCATGGGGCAAGTCCCCTCCTTCTTCAAATTCCCTTGCCATCATTTAACACCATTGTAGAACTACTGTACGGCCGAATCATACCAGGCTTCTCCTCCGACCGCATCAGACAAGACCAAACAAAATCCGCCGCGCGTCATCGACAGCCCAACCCGGCGTTTACGGCCAAGCTGAAGGCGATCAATGAGGGGAAGGCGGCGTGGAGGAGGGAGAGGAAGAGGGCGAAGGTTGAGGCCGCGTCGCTTACGGTGGGGGTGGGGGTGGGGGCGAGGGTTGTTGAGGAGGTTGCTTGAGCCGAGCATCGAGCTTGAGATGGAGGGAGAGAGGGAGAGGGATGCAGAGGGAGAAGGAAAAAAAGGTGCCGAGAGGTACCGCCAAAGACCTTTCGGAAAGGTGTATAATTTCAAGTCACGAATCAAAATGTTGTTGTGCCAAATATCATATTCAATTGTTCTCATATCACCGTATTGTTGTTATGAATACATCATCGATCATTCCGTCCTCTTATATCCAGGGATTCCAGCAAGTCAAGTTCTTTGTCAAGCCGTGCTCAGCGATGGGCTTTTGAGCTGCTCAGGCGTTAAGCTTGCACATTGACAGCTTGACAGATCTGATAGGTACACAACTTATAGAGAAGAGTGGGATAAGAAGCACCCTTGATCCTCTTCGAGTAGCGCTGGGCTGTACTGCTGCAGAGGCGCAGACCTGTAGTGGCCGCCGGCGGCCGCAGACGTACACAAACGCTCCTCCTTCCAATGTTTTCATTCACCTTTTCAACCACCAGAACATCATTCCGCTTTAGGCATGGACTGTACTGTTCAATCCTCGACGATCGCTATCAACAGAATGGAAACCACCATCTTCAACCGCCTCTTGCACCAGGACGATGCCGAAAGAGAGGTCTAACAATCTTTGGAGAAGCTGCTCTGCCCCGATCGGTCTCTGCTTGGGATTGCTCGATTCGGTTCTCGCTATGAGGGTCGTCTATCAAAGATGCAAGTCGTTTACTCGGGAACGATTGCTGCGTGGACGTCCGCGTAGACGAATCCGTAAACCGGGACGCGCTCGTAAGTCAGGTCAAGTGGCGCTTCAACCATGCTGACACGTCACAAAGCCGCTGGTAGCATAATCATGTAATGTGCTCGTATGGTCCCGAGCGCCAACACTGAACATGCTGCTCTCATAGACCTTTGACCATTTCAGTGGTATCAGCCGCATTCCTGACCAAACCGCAACCAACAAGAGCCAGGCGTGAGACCGAGCAGCCGACCCCTCATTCACAACCCCCTCGTCGACGCGGCGCATCATCGCCGCCCTCGCATCCGCCCACCTCCACCCTCCCAATGCTCGCCCGTCCTCGCAGTAAAGTTGCGACGCCAAATGCTCCGCTTGGTGCACTGGGTGAAGGTCCTTTCACCACCAAAATCCAGGAGTTGACAGGTACCATCAACACTGGTGCCTGGAAAGAACCAAATGACCGCCGCGCCGAGTCCAGTTCTCTCGCGATTTTTTTTGATTTTTCGGCGATGTTTCTGTGTGCATCTCTTGCAGTTCTTGTCGTGTCGCCATGGGCGATGTACAAGCGTACTTCCACTGACGTTCCGCGCCGAATGGTACAAAGAAGTACCAATATTCATAAGCAGATGCACGCCCATTGCCCGCTGCCGTCTGTTGGACGCTAAGGTTTTCGCACCGAGGCGATGCTCCCAATCCTGTTCGCCCTCCACCTCTTTATCTTTCTTCTCCATACAACCCCAACCTTCATCTACCTTGAGAACACTCCAGAACCCTCGTACCAACATCACTCAACCCACACCTCACCCCACACTTCATCCCAAACTCACACCCCACATCTGTCACGGCCTGGAATATCTACGTGTGACAACATCTCACACCAGGATGTCTGCGTATGTACAGCGGGTTCTCCCACCAGTTCTTTGCGGCCGAGTCTGCCATGGGCGACCGCGCGTTGTCTCTTCTCTTCTCTTTTCTCCCCTGCCCTTCTCCCGTCTCCGAGACTATCAACACCGCCGTCGGTGACGAGAACAAGGTAAGTACTCTTCCCCTTTCCCGCCACTAGCTCTATACTGACTCATCTTTGCATGTTGGAGATGACTACAGGAGCGAGGAATCTGCCAGCTCGCCCCTCTTCTCCCCTCCTCCTCCTCCTTCGCCTTCTCTGCCTCCTATCGCGCCCTTCCCCGCCATCACTGCCAAACCCGCCAGCGAGAAGGTCTACCTCGGCCTCCGACTCTTTGGTATCCGTGGTCCAACCGTACCCTCTCCGGTCGTAAGCGCACAGCCTAAGAAGCCTAGCGACAAGGTCCGCCTCGGACTCCTAATGCCTGGCATCCGTACCCCCGCCCTCCTCCCCAACGCTCAGCCTGAGAAGACCTGCGACAAGTCCAAGCCCAAGGCGAGGTCTTCAGCTCATACCACCACTACCAACATCTTCAAGGCGACCAGGATCCGGGCATGGAGAAGAAGAGGCATGTTGAGGCTTGCAAGCAGCGCCAGAACAAGGTAAGCGCTATCTCTTCCCATCGCAACGTTATATTGATTCAACTTGCAGCACGACGACGAGGACTTTAGCGCTCTCGCTTCCCTCTTCACATCTCCCGCCGAGGGTGCCATGAACGATGTGATTGACCTCACTCTCATAGATTCCCCTCCTTCCTCTCCGTCTCCTGTTGCCGCCACCTACACCAACACCACCAGTGACGACAGCGGCATTGTGTGCCTTTCGACTCCTGTTAATACCTCCTCCGTCGTTGGTCAACGCGACAGCTCTAGCGACAGGCCCAAGGCCAAGGCTCGTTCTTCCGCTCACGCCAACATGTCCAACACCATCAAGGCCAGCGGGAGTCAGAGTCCAAGCGGGGACAAAAAGACGCACGCCAAGGGGTGTAAGCACAAGAGTAACTCTTGCGAGTACTGCAAGCGGCGTCAGATCAAGGTAAGCATACCCCCTCTCCCTCTCCATCAGCCTCATACTGATTCAAATTACAGTGCGACCGCGACGAGTTCAAAGCTTGTACCGCCTGCTTCAAGAAGGGGATCGAATGTGTCTACAACATCGTCCCAGGCAAGCGCGGGGCGTTGAAGGCGTCGCAAGAGGGTGCCGCTATGGGACGTACTCTCTCGGGTAGCGTCATCAACTGCGGTTTGCCCTCTACCCCTCGCCTCTCCTCTTCGCCGAGCAGCAATGCCTCAGTTGCCATCCTCACCCCTCCTCGCGCCGCCAGCCTCTATGCCCAGTTGGCGTCGACCTCCTCCGCCAACTGCAACATTGTTGCTGCGCCTTCTGCCCCCTTTTGCCCCCGGCAGCTTCTTCTGGCGCTTCTGCCCCTACCCAGCTTCCCGCTTCTGCTGCTGCTGGTCCGATCGCACTACAAATTTGAATCAGTATATGGCTCATAAGAGGGAGAGGGAGCTTGCTTACCTTGATTTGGGGCTGCTTGCAGTAATCGCAAGAATTGCTCTTGCAATTGCTCTTGCGTTTACATCCCTTGGTGTGAAACTTCTTGTCCGAACCTGGACTCTGACTACCGCTAGCCTTGGGGTTGTTGGACTTGGTGGCGTGAGCGGAAGATCGAGCATTGGTCTTGGGCTTGCCGCTGGAGTTTTCGCGTTGACCAAAGACGGAGGATGTATCGACAGGAGCCGAAAAGCAAACAACGTCGCTGTCGTCACTGTAGTGTCGTCACTGGTGGTGTTGGTGTAGGTGGGGGCAACAGGAGACGGACAGGGAGGAGGGGAATCGATGAGGGTGAAGTCGATCACATCGTTCATGACACCCTCGGAGGGAGATGGGAAGAGTGAAGCGATCGTCCTATTCCCACCCAGCCCTTCTCGCGCCCCTCTCCCTTGACCCCGCTTCCTGCTGTTCAAGCGAAAGGTTAGCATGCAAAGGGGGAGCAGCAGTGGACCCTGGCGCGGTGGTGCAGGGACAACGGGATAGACGATGCTACTTTTCTCACCAACCCCGTTTTCCAAATCTCGGCACTTGCTGCGCCTGCTCATGTGCTAGAGCCGATGGAGGCGAAGGAGGAGAAGGAGGTGAGAGAGGCGGCTGAGATGGGCAGGACATTGTGTATTTGTAGTTATAAAAAGGACATTAGTATAGAAACACAATCGCTCTGTAGATAAAGTATGATTGAAAAGTAATTTACATAATAGCAGTTTAATTCTCGAGCTTGTCAGTTTTCGTTTCTGTTGTTCGTTGTCGATATTCAAGATTTCAAGACATAAATTTTTGTGGCTTTTTCAATGTTTTAAGTTTCCTTCTTATTCGAGCTCTTGCCACCCAAAGTACAGCAGTGAGAGGCGGATCGAATCGCCAGTACCATCCGTCCATCTGCCTCAATCAACTCGGCTGATAAAGATTATGTTGAGATACCCCTCTCCTCTGGGGAAGCGATTCAATGCTTCTCGTACCTGATGGTGCAATCCCATCACTATGTTCCCAAACTCCAAGATCAGGGGCTGGTCAAAAGTGGTCGTCTACCGATGAACTTTTCACAGATACGTACTTGACCGTCCAATCTCCAGCCCTATCACATGCACCACCAACTTTCGGGGGTCTTGATTGCTACCTCATCTAAGTATTATTGATACCACACCTTGATAAAACGGTCCAAAGACAAGGTTGAATGACTCGTGGCAGCCGTGGTCACCAAAAGTGGAGGTTTCGGCGCGGACCGAGCGGGAGACCTTTGTCCTCTTTCGCATAAATCTCAAAATCCCTCCATCCACCTCCACCTCGCCCCCATCCCGCTCTCCACCCACCATCCATTTCTTCCATCTGGCTCCAAGACTCGTGATGGGCGCTGCCGAAAACCAAGCGTAGCTCAAGACCGCCCACAACCCGAGATCAGTCTAATTTTCAGAACACCCCCTTGGCACACCTCCACCACGCACCGCCATCGCTTTGGAGCATGGCATCCACTCCATCCGCCCTTCCGGGGCCGTCTAGGATGCCTCTACAACCCACGCCTGCGAATATATCCCATCCCCAAGCAGGCCTGCCCATTGCCCAACAGCCGAACGGGCACCAAAATGCACGCCCTTTCACTGGCCGGCACGACATCCATCAAATCAAACAAGAACTGCATGATGCCCTAGGAGAAGAAGGACTCCCGTATTGGAAGAGCTTGAATGCGTACTTGCTTGGGCAGCTGGGGAGGGGCGAGTTGGAGGGGATGGTGAGGGGGTGGCTGAAAGGTGATGGACGTAAGTGTGTGCTTGGAGGTGAAAGGGAGGATGCTGATTGGAGGGTTTCAGTGCATCTGCATAATAAGCTGCTATCGTCTCTGTTGTCGAATGCTTCTATATCGTTGGGCGATTCGGGTACGGTGTCTGCTTCCCGCAAACGCAAAGGTCTTTCCGTCGACCATGCCGACTATGACACGGACGACACGATAGTGGAGCCGAAAAGGAGAGTGGAAGGGTGGGTCATGGGTCTGGGGAAGAAGGAGAGGGTGAGGGTGAAGAAGGCGTTGGCTTCTGGAGATGCAGAGAAGGGACCGGATGGGAAGGATGCGTGGGAGAGCATGGAGCAGAAGAGATGGAGTCCATATTCGCAAAGTGAGTCATCGTCTACATCTGACTTTATCCGAAAACTGACAGACTGCAGATTCGTTGATAGCCCCGCTGGCTGTTCCAAAACGCCAACTCCCCTCTTCGCATCAACTCTCCCTCCGTCTCTCGCAATACGCCAAATTGCACGACGTGACCGTCCCCCCGAGTTCCACCGACGACATCGGCGAGTTTCTCGCAGTCGGTATGGACGCCCACATGGCCGATATCCTCCACTCCACTGTCCACCTCACGGCCCGCGATCGACCTGGAGATACAGGTATCCGCGTACCAAAAGGCATCGGGTCACGAAAAGAGGGCGAGCCGCAGGATGCTGGGGAAGTACCAGCGCCAGATCTGGATACCTTCCGAACACTATTCGACATCCATCCCCACCTCCACTCCAACCTCTCCCCGGCACTGCACCGTCTTCAGACTTCTCACACCCTCGCAGAACTCGAAGGCGCCAACCCTCTCCTCCAACCGACGACCCGCGTCCCGCAATGGGTGCCCGTACCCAACGCTGCGCCGGTGGCCAAGCTTGTGCCTGTTGCTGAAGGGAGCAAGGCGGTGGGTCGTTCGCCGGCGAGGTCGGTGGCTGTGCAGAACGAGCTATTGGAGAAGGGGTTGTTGAAGTTGGATAAGGGACGGGAAGGTGATGGGGCGGAGGGCGGGAAGAAGGAGAAGAGGCATACGTTGCATTGGAGGTATGAGGATCCGGCGTTGATCCTGGGGGATATTCTAGGATGAGCGAGGAGTGAGGAAGAAGAGCAAGAGCATGGGCAGCATTGTACTATTCAAGCATTATCTACGTACATTCGTACTTGCATGGCATTTGATTACATTCGGATCATGTCTACAGCGCGTCGAGTTGCTTCTCGCTTCCCTTTTGCAACGTTGATGCCCTACCGACCATCTTTCCAGCCTTGGTCTGGCTATATCAGCCCGAGTCCCTCAGCCCACCTCATCTTCTACCGTTAGTCCGAGAGAGGAGACCCCTTGACTTCCCCATTAGCATCACCACTTTCACCAGCCGACCGGCGGCCGGCCACTCGATCTGCGCCATCATCCGTCTACTGTTTGTTTGGTTTCTTCCCACTACAGCTCACTATTCATCTATGTCAGGGTGTGGCCGACAAGCGGCGGGACCCGTAACGCAGAAGAGTAAAGCCAAGATGGCAGATCCATGGTATGCATTCCGACTTTTAGGTATGCCAGAGTGGCGAATGAGGGCTCTCAGCTCTTCTCGCATGTCTTTGTGGCTTCCACCAGAGCCGAAGATGTCAGTAGACATGATGTTCAGCTTCCGAAGCAAGATCACAGCGGCCCTCTCCTGGTCTGATTCCGGAACGAAACGGAAACCAGGCTTGAGCTTGCCTTGCATCAGCGAGGGTGTCGACGTCAACCCTTTTCAAGAGAGGGACAAGTTTCGGGAATGTAGCCTTCTCAGTTTGAAGGAGAGCTTGGAAAGAGGCCTGGCGACCCTGGATGATGTTCAGGCAGACGAAGGGGAAATTGACCTCTGTTGGGAAGCGGCGGTCTTTGTATCTTTTACAATGTCGTCAGCTGTGGAGCGAAGAGCGCAAGAGTGCAGGAAGCTCACCTCAAGCAATGGGCAATATGCGCCACAAAGGAGACTTTCTTTGGCCGAAGGGGATCCTTGAAGCTACCACAGCCGCAGGGGAAGAGGTGAGGGTAGAGGGCTGCAAAGGTCGCTGGTGCCGAGTATTCTTGCATGGGCGTTGTCCCGGAAGGATACGCCAGCAACTGGGCACCCCCCTTGATAGCTGCCAGAGCGGACACTTTGCGCAGGTCGACATGATGGCCAGAGCTGTTGCTTTTGACACATCCAGAGACGTCCACCATGACGTCTTCCGATGGCTGAGAAGCGTCAGGTGACTGAGAAGGAGCCGTGGTAGGAGGAACATATCCAGCACCTTCGGCTTCGGTGGAAGCGGAGGCGACAGATTTGAAGCAAGGCATTGTCAGGTGTCCGTCCTCTGGGTGGGTAGTCAACGCATTACCATCAATGGAGACATCACTGTACAGAGGGAGGGTTGTTCTCTTTCAACCACTGCAGAGCAGCAATTATCTTGTCCCGGCGGACGGTAAGTAGCTTCTTGGGGATTTTGTCAGCAGTGAGAGGCTCTGCCTCGTTGGCAACCCAAATGACAGCGATCTCGTTAGCGATCACAGAAGCTGGAAGAGGGAGCAACCTCGACAGCTCGGACCAGCCTGGGGTCACGGTGCTATCTCTGCTGAGACACCACGAGGCAGGGGTCCTTTGGAGGTCGGTGCTTGGCGCGTGGCATGACGCCCGTAGAGCTGGGCGAGCAATTGTCTTATGTATCATTGCAATGTTGCTTTTCCCTTTGTACATCACCCGGAAGTTGTTATTCAGCTGCTTTTTTTGCGACCAACCAAGAACCTCCCACGCCATGTCCTACCTTCTCAAGAAGCCCTGCAGTCAGGTAGGCTGTCCCAAACATGCTATAGGCACCCTTTTCTACTGCGAAGACTGCGCAAAAGCGTGGTGTCTAGAGCATTATCATGCCAATTCACCGCATGTTTGCCGAACACTCATTATGGTATGTACTGAAGCCACTTGGCGGCCCAAATTCCTTGCTAACAAATAGTCACAGGCAAGCTTCCAACCGGGCGGGGAAAAGGCTGTTCAGATAAGGAAAAAGATTGGCTTAGAAACGTCAGGTGACAAGCATGCAGTGAGTGATGATGATGATTACCGGGGATGAGAACGAGCGAGATTGAGGTGCTAACCATTGTACTCTCTGATAGTACCAGCGCACTGTTGAAGCCATCGACTCACACAAGATCACTCAGCAAGCATCTCTCATTCGTCCTGGGCACACTTGCTCTCTCGTCACTCCATCTATGCCAGATGGAGACTATCCTAGGGCTTCAGCAGAGTACAAAATCGGCTGGGTGAACATTCACCTTCCTCTCATATTCGATGACGGAGTCAAGTGGATCGTCCGCATTCCTAGAAGGCACGACGGGGACGCTCCAGCCAACCTGCACAACTTGATAGCTTCCAGTGAAGTTGCGACTCTTCGGGTTTTGCATCAGAATCGTGCCAAGGTCCCCAACGCATGGATGCCGGTGGAAGGAAATCCTGACGAGGCTGCAAACGGTGAGCTCGATGCCTTGTGGCCTTCTTCTACATCTGACACATAGTACTAGGAAGATACTTCTTTGAGGAGTTCGTCGAAGGCGTACCCTACATTGACGGCGATTACATGAACACGCTTCATACAGACCGGGATCGGTTTGCCGCCAGTCTTCTCGAATTTGCGCAGCACTACATTGCCATTGCAGACATCAAACTCGAAGTCAAAGGTATCGGATCGCTCTACCCGTCTGACAACTCCTGTGGCTACACCTTGGGCCCTATCACAAGCATGGGCACTTTCATGCGGCCCGAGCCTCCCTACTTTTTGGGCCCTTTCAAAACGCTGAGGGACCGCTATATCGCGCATATTGAACAAGTTCTGTTCCACATCAGAAAGTTGTCCTTCTTCAACATTGCCCCAATACGGAGCTATGTGTGGTTATTGGAGCTGCAAGACATGATCAAAGAGTGTGAGGTCCTCGGTCGTGAGGAGGATGACTTCTATATTCGCCACGCGGATGACTGGTTTCGACAAACCATGAGGGATAGCGAGGGCCATCTCACAGGATGCTTGGACTGGGAATGGTAAGTGGCACGCTTTCAGATAATTCAAGCACCAGCTGATTAGATTGCTACAGGGCTTATACTACAACCAAAACCGAAGCTTTCTCTTCCCCTCTTAATCTCCATATCGCCCATCCTTGGACTGAAGGCGACAATGCGCTCAGTCCTGACGAGCTCTTGATGATCGATTGTTTCATCAAGCTCGGTCGACCGGACCTCGGAGATTGTATTCGTCAGGGAAGACTTTACCTTCGTCTCGAAGAAGCCTTGCGTATCGATTGGGAATTGTTCTATATGAACCGACGCGGGAACTTCAATGGAGTTCTTGCAGCCTTCAGAGATCAAGGACAGCAAGTCCCCGGTCCCTTCGAAAGCGAAGAGGAGCTTAAAGTCTGGCTCGAAAGCTTGGAGAAGAAACGTCAAGAGAATGGAGAGTTGGATGAGGTAAGAGCTGCCTGGAAGGCGTATAGTGATGTGAAGCAAGAGGCCGACAGGAGAGATGAGGAGACCTGGGAGGACGTGGTTGCAGAGCAGTACAAAAAGCTTGGCTTGGAGGAAGTTGATAGTGCCGAAAAGTAAACGTACTATGACATGATAATGCAACCAGGTTCTAGCATGCCGACTCCATCTACGGACTCTTCGGCGGCCGGCAGCTCTTCCGCTTCCGGCTCAGCCTGAGCCCTTGAGGAAGAGCAGCCGCTCCAGGAAGGGGAAGGAGAAGGAGGATGAGGATTTCGAAGGATAGATGCTGGTGGAGTCTAAAGATAAAAAGTCAGGATGCATACCATGGATCTGCCATCTTGGCTTTACTTTTCTGCGTTACGGGTCCCGCCGCTTGTCGGCCACACCCTGACATCTACCGAAGGCATTAGTCAGAGAGAGACGACAGCATCACCAATTTCACCAGCCGACCGGCGGCCGGCCACTCAACGGAGGACTTTCGGCTTTCGTCCCGTCTATTTGTTTGGTTTCTTCCCACTACAGCTCACTATCCATCTATCACCATGCCCGGTACTATGGTAAGTCCCCTTCCAATAACTCACGAAGGACGCCGTCTGAAAGCTTGATGACAGCCCCCACCCCCACCGCATTTGTTGCCTCCGGATTTACCAACAGGCATAGCAACCTTCTCCCCTTCCCCCTCCCAAGCGCGGCGGACCAACGGATGATCGCTAGGACGCGGCAAGTATATTGCGAGATGTATACCCCCACCTCTTCCTCTTCGCAATCACCTTCTTACCCACGACCTTCGGCGGGGGAGAGGGATGGGGAGAAGAAGGGTATTGGTGCTGATGGGGGAGTAGGTCGCAAAAATACTTGCAAGAATCTCTCTCTCCCTCGCTTGGTCGACTCTTCTCAGGCTGGACGTCCCTTCCTCTTCTACCACGCCTGATGGTACCGGCATACTCACCGAGGCGGACAAGAACGATCTCTCCAAGAAGATCGGGCAATACTTCAAGAACATTCAACGGGTGATACATCAGAACAGCACGGAAGAGTTGCAGATGAAGACGAGAGAGATGAATGAGAAGAAAAAAGTGAAGAGCCGGGCGGGCAAGGTGAGTCTCCCTTTTCCTCTCATCAAAAGGTAGTATGCTGACTAGATGAACAGAGGTTTGCGCAAGTATCAAGAGGAGTCGATTTCGACAGCTCCCTCCTCGGCAGATGTCAAGAGTCCGACCTCCTCCGGCACATATTTCTCGACCTCTTCAAGCAGAACAACTCTTTCTTGCCGTTCATGTACGATATCCCCAATGAAGAGAGGGAGATATGTGCGGTTTGGAGGGATATTTGGTGTGGGCTATCGGGGCAGGAACAGCAGGAGGGGGAGGATGTTTGGATTGTGGAAGATCCGGAATGGTGGTCGCCTTGGGTCAGTCCCCACCCCCTCCCCAAGTCAAGCATTACTGTTGACTGACCAGACTATAGCTGAAGAAGGCATACTGGACGTATTACTACGAAGCCAACCCTAGAGGTACGCGATTCTTCCGTCTCCCCGACAGTATGATGCGCTAGCGCCGTATCCTCTCTGCCGACGACCTTCCCCCACTTTCATGTGGCATCACCGGCAGTATGGTAGATTGGCAAGTCTTTTCATCACCTTCAAATAGAGAATGGGCGGCGCAGGTGCCTCTGGACCCGCCAGTCCCAAGAGAGAGAAGGACGTTGCAGAGCTTGGAGAAGGCTGTGGGGGTGGAGATTGGGATGGGATGTAGCGTATTGCTGCATCTAGCGCCTTTGGGCGTGCTTGAAGAGGGAGATGGGGAAATGCTGATTGCAATGAGGAGGGAGGTTCCGGAGGCGTATAATTATGGGAAGGAGATCGGGAGAAGAGTCATGATGGCGGACGAAGAGCTTCACGAGATAGTCCGTAGATCATATTGACATGAATATTTTTATGAGATTTGCTAGAATGAATGACAGTAGATGCATCAGTGACGATGATATAAGACCAGCAATGACTGCATCCGTCCTGGCTGATGAATCAGCGCAGGTCAAGCTCGGGCAAGCGAAGAAAAAAAGGTGGGACCAAACATTCCATCCGCGCAAATATCGGACATAAGACAAAACCCCGCGCCGCAATTAAAAAAATGCCGACACGATTTGATCCCGCTCCACGCCAGCTCCCACCCGCGCTCGCTGGGATTGAGGAAAAGCACGAAATCAGTGAATCACCCTCTCTCCACCCCTCAAATCTCTCAAAATGGTACGTCCCCATAAACAGCTGTGTGAGGAGGGATGCTGACAGCCAGTGCAGGAAGTCGCCGCCAACAAGCAGCCCGTCAAGCTCGCCCGTGTCCTCAAGGTGCGTTTGAGTCGTGGAATGGATAGTCTGAGCGTGGAAAGGATGGGGGGATTTGCAATGGTGATGGAAGGGTGTGGGGGCAGTTGGGGGATGGGGATGCAGGTCGACGAAGAGCGGAAGGGCGGATGGCGAGGGTAGACGTGAAGAGGATGATGGGGTGGGGATGTCTGGCGGGACGAAGTGTATAGCTTGTGGCGTGCGGTACCCCGAGTACTTGCTGCCCCGGGATACCACTGTCAGCGGAGGTCATGTGCAGAGTGCAGGTGCCGGAAAGAAAAGTGGAATGGGGGATTGCCAAATTTGCCATCCAGACGACGCGCGGACTGTCGATCACCGTAGAAGAACACTGCTGACTATCCTTTCCCTTCATCCTCTCCCCCCCACCACACCCTCCCTCTTTCGCCACCCACCTCTTTCCCCTTGTCCCCTCGCCCTTCCTCCCATTCAACGAAAAACAACAGGTCCTTGGCCGAACCGGCTCCCGAGGTGGTGTTACCCAAGTCCGAGTCGAGTTCATGGACGAGTCCAACCGATCCATCATCCGAAACGTCAAGGGCCCCGTCAGGGTCAACGACATCCTCGCTTTGTTGGAGTCTGAGCGTGAGGCTCGGTACGTCTTTTTCCCTCTTCCCTTCTGGAGTTTTTTTTCTGGGGCGAGTGCTGACTGGATTGTTTAGTCGTCTCCGTTAAGCGGTGGATGTTGGGAATGAGCGGCGGTAGTTTGGTTTTGTGATGACATACCTTCGGCATACAACCTTGCAGTTTCGTGTTGCAGTCGCAGTGTTGCAGAATTCAGGATTGGGTTGCAGGTGGTGGAAACGACAGGGCGGGATCAGGTGGCAAGCGGCGAGATTCTCAAAGAGAGGAGATGGTTCGGTCGACGTGTGGTGGGAGTGTTCTGCTACTGAGAGCGGGGTGTTGTGGAGGAGAGTGATGTCTGAGCGCACTTGGATGGTTTGCTGAGGGTCGGGCTTATCACCACTTACCCGCATTCAACCCTGACTTGACTCTGGCTGATCTTCCTGACCCTTGACCTTGACTGCTGACTCCACTACTGATCACTCTTCCTGAAGGTAGACGATCTGATCACTCATCGCTTATGTACTCCAAACTGTTAATCCCTTGGCTTACCTCTCCTGTCAAACCTGTTGACCGCCCTACGCAATCGACTCGATCGATCATCACCATGACCAGACTCGACGCGACCAGCATCACCGAACGGACGTCTAATACTCCACTTTTCGTATTACCGAGGGCGAGCTTTGATCACCTTTTGGCCGGTTTTCGAAGGGGCAAAGGCGGCTGGGGCTCTGTAGCGAGGGTGATAGCGATAGCGATAGCCACTGCTTGCCGGTATGAATACTCTCCATACATCGCGTATGCTTTCAGCCAGTCTCGAGCTTCTTATAAAGACTAGAATTGGTCAGATGGTGTGGGAGGTACTGGCGGTTCGATCCGCCTCCCACTACTGCACCGTGGGCAGAGCAAATTTGACGGTAAGAGTTAAGATGAGAGAGAGTCTTGAATTATTGAACGAGCCACGAGAATTCATATATCTAGATTTCAAATATTGACAACGAACAACCGATCAGAAACGAAGACTATCGAGAACGAGAATTAAACTGCTACTATAAATTACTTTTCACCATGCTAAATCTACAAAACGAGTGTCCTTTCTAAATCAATGTCCTTGTCATAACGAAAATATATATATATACAAGTGCCCTGCCCGCACCATCGTCTCAGATGAGACTCTGCCAACAGTCGACTCAACAGCCGACGTCGTTAAAGCTCCTCATCTCCGGCGTGCTGAAGAATGCCACAATGTTGGCAATCTCCGCCGCCTCTCTCTTCTCCTTCTCCTTCTCACTCTCCACCGGCACGGGGACGGGCGCAGCCTCAGCGAGTCCTGGGATTTGGAAGACCGGGTTGGTGAGGAAAGTCGCCTCATCGATCCCGTTGTCCCTGCACCACTGCGCCAAGGTCCACTGCTGCTGGCTGACGGCAGCCCTTTGCTCGTCAGCAGCAGGAAGAAGTGGCGCGATGGGAGCCGCTCTCGAGAAGGGCTGGATGGGAGGAGGAGGAGGGATAGCAGAGAAGGAGGGGTTGGGCGCGAAGCTGGAGGAGACGGGGGCGGCTTCGGGGGCGGAGGCAACCAGCCCGATGTCCCTGTAAAACTGGTCAAAGTCAAAGTCGAACTCGCCTTCGAGATTCACTTCTGGACCAGTAGCAACGGGAGCAACAGGAAGTTGGGAGGGGTGGGAGGCGCGGAAAGAAGGTGCCGGGGCAGAAGGCGCAGCGACGATGTTGAAGTGGACCGAGGAGGTCGACGCCAACTGGGGATAGAGATAGGCGGGGACGACGACGGTAGACGTGGCGGGGGCGGCGCGAGGAGGGGTGTGGATAGCAACTGAGGCGTTGCTGCTCGGCGAAGACGAGAGGCGAGGGGTAGAAGGCAAGCCGCCGTTGATGAGGCTACCCGAGAGAGTACGGCCCATGGCGACGGCCTCTTGCGAAGCCTTCAACGCGCCTCGTTTGCCTGGGACGATGTTGTATACACAGTCGGTCCCCTTCTTGAGGCAGGCGGTGCAGGCGTTGTAGTCGTCCCGATCGCACTGTAATTATGAATCAGTATGAGGCTGATGGAGAGGGAGAGGGGGTATGCTTACCTTGATCTGACGCCGCTTGCAGTACTCGCAAGAGTTACTCTTGCGCTTACACCCCTTAGCGTGCGTCTTTTTGTCCCCGCTTGGACTCTGACTCCCGCTGGCCTTGATGGTGTTGGACATGTTGGCGTGAGCGGAAGAACGAGCCTTGGCCTTGGACTTGTCGCTAGAGCTGTCGCGTTGGCCAACGACGGAAGAGGTATTGACAGGTGTCGAAAGGCACACAGGAGACGGAGAGGAAGGAGGGGAATCTATGAGAGTGAGGTCAATCACATCGTTCATGACACCCTCGGCGGGAGATGTAAAGAGGGAAGCGAGAGCGCTAAAGTCGTGGTCGTCGTGCTGCAAGTTGAATCAATAGCTGCCAATGATGGGAAGAGATAGCGCTTACCTTGTTCTGGCGCTGCTTGCAAGCCTCAACATGCCTCTTCTTCTCCATGCCCGGATCCTGGCCGCCGGTCGCCTTGAAGATGTTGGTGTTAGTGGCATGAGCTGAAGACCTCGCCTTGGGCTTGGACTTGTCGCAGGTCTTCTCAGGCTGAGCGTTGGGGAGGAGGGCGGGGATACGGATGCCAGGCATTCGGAGGCCAAGGTGAACCTTCTCGCTGGGCTTCTCAAGCTGTGTGCTACCGACCTGAGCGGGGACAGTGGGGCCACGAATACCAGGGAGGGGGAGGCCGAGGTAGACCTTCTCGCTGGCAGGCTTGGTGGTGGGGATGACGATGGGGGCGATAGGGGGCAGAGAAGGCGAACGAGAGCGGGCAGAGGTAGTGGCTGAGGCCTCGACAGGCGAAGGGCTGGGAGGAGGAGAGAAGAGGGGCGAGAGGGCAGATTCCTCGCTGTAGTCATCTCCAACCTGCAAAGATGAGTCAGTATAGAGCTAGTGGCGGGAAAGGGGAAGAGCGCTTACTTTGTTTTCGTCACCGACGGCGGTGTTGATAGTCTCGGAGACAGGAGAAGGGCTGGGAGGGGCAGAGAAGAGCGGCGAAAGGGCAGAGTCATCGCTGTAGTCATAGCCGAGCTGTCAAAGCGGGATCAGTATACAAATTAGTGGCACGGGAAAAGGGGCTGCTTACGTCGTTCTCGTCACCGATGGTGGTGGCAGTGGTCTCGTCGGCAATATGAGAAGGAGAGGGAGGAGGAGAGAAGAGGGAAGACATTGCGGAGTCACTCTCGACAGACCCGGCGGCAAAGGGGGCCGAGAAGGGAGAAACCTGGGGGGCCAGGTCGTTCACACCAGCCTCGACGGCCTCGACAGGCTCGCCAGCCTCGGTGGGAGGAGGAGGGGAGGGCAGAGGAGAGAAGAGAGGAGACAGCGGGCCGTCGCCCATGGTAGACTCGGCAGCAAAGAACTGGTTGGTGGACCCGCTGTACGCAGACATCCTGGTGTGAGGTGTGGGGTGTGAGTTTGGGATGAGGTGTGGGGTGAGATGTGGGTTGAGTGATGTTGGTACGAGGGTTCTGGGTGTCCTCACGGTAAATGAGGGTTGGGGTTGAGTAGAGAAGAAAGAGAAAGAGGGGGATGGGAATTTGAGCGAGCTGTGGGGTTCCCGGCGGACGGCGGAACAGAATTGGGAGCATCGCCTCGGTGCGAAAACCTTAGCGTCCAACAGACGGCAGCGGGCAATGGGCGTGCATCTGCTTATAAATATTGGGACTTCTTTGTACCATTCGGCGCGGAACGTCAGTGGCCGTACCCTCGTACACGGCACATGGCGATACGACAAGAATTGCAAGAGATGCAAAGAGAAACATTGCCGAAAAACCAAAAATCGCGAGAGAACTGGACTCGCACGCGGCGGTCATTTGGTCCAGTGCACCAAGCAGAGCATTTGGCGTCGCAACTCTACTGCGAGGACGGGCGAGCATCGGGAGGGTGGAGGTGGGCGGATGCGAGGGCGGCGATGATGCGCCGCGTCGACGAGGGGGTTGTGAATGAGGGGTCGGCTGCTCGGTCTCACGCCTGGCTCTTGTTGGTTGCGGTTTGGTCAGGAATGCGGCTGATACCACTGAAATGGTCAAAGGTCTATGAGAGCAGCATGTTCAGTGTTGGCGCTCGGGACCATACGAGCACATTACATGATTACTCTACCAGCGGCTTTGTGACGTGTCAGCATGGTTGAAGCGCCACTTGACCTGACTCACGAGCGCGTCCCTATTTACGGATTCGTCTACTCGGACGTCTACGCAGCAATCTTTCTCGAGTAAACGACTGACATCCTTGATAGACGACCCTCATAGCGAGAACCGAATCGAGCAATCCCAAGCAGAGACCGATCGGGGCAGAGCAAGATTGTTAGACCTCTCTTTCGGCATCGTCCTGGTGCAAGAGGTGGTTGAAGATGGTGGTTTCCATCCTGTGAATAGCGTTCGTCGAGGATTGAACAGTACAGTCCATGCCTAAAGCGGAATGATGTTCTGGTGGTTGAAAAGGGGAATGAAAACATTGGAAGGAGGAGCGTTTGTGTACGTCTGCGGCCGCCGGCGGCCACTACAGGTCTGCGCCTCTGCAGTAGTACAGCCCAGCGCTACTCGAAGAGGATCAAGGGTGCTTCTTATCCCACTCTTCTCTATAAGTTGTGTACCTATCAGATCTGTCAAGCTGTCAATGTGCAAGCTTAACGCCTGAGCAGATCAAAAGCCCATTGCTGAGCACGGCTTGACAAAGAACTTGACTTGCTGGAATCCCTGGATATAAGAGGACGGAATGATCGATGATGTATTCATAACAACAATACGGTGATATGAGAACGATTGAATATCAAATTTGGCACAACAACATTTTGATTCGTGACTTGTTGAAATTATACACCTTCCGGAAAGTCTTCGGCGATACCTCTCGGCACCTTTTTTTCCTTCTCCCTCTGCATCCCTCTCCCTCTCCCCCTCCATCTCAAGCTCGATGCTCGGCTCAAGCAACCTCCTCAACAACCCTCGCCCCCACCCCCACCCCCACCGTAAGCGCCGCGGCCTCAACCTTCGCTCTCTTCCTCTCCCTCCTCCACGCCGCCTTCCCCTCATTGATCGCCTTCAGCTTGGCCGTATACGCCGGGTTGGGCTGTCGATGGCGCGCGGCGGATTTTGTTTGGTCTTGTCTGATGCTGTCGGAGGAGAAGCCTGGTATGATTCGGCCGTACAGTAGTTCTACAATGGTGTTAAATGATGGCAAGGGAATTTGAAGAAGGAGGGGACTTGCCCCATGAAAGTTGAATATCTTTTCTGTCGAGCGTGGTCGCTCTTCGGTGTTTGGCAAGCATACAGCTCGCCTCGGAGATTACATCGGAATGCTCATCAAACAGCTCCAACAACAACTACCCCCTCATCAGCTCCTCTCCCCTCTGCATCCAGCAAAAGAAAAACTCACAGTCTCCGAATCCTTCGGTATCTTCAGCGCCTTATCAACCTCCTCCGCCACCTCCTGCACCTTCCTCCTCTTCTGCCCCGGCATCCCACTCGCCCGCCCTTTCCCCTCCCCTTCCTCCCCCTCCTCATCCTCCGCCTCTTCATCCACCGCCTCCCGCAGCCCTTCGGGCCAATCATCAACCCCCTCCCGATCCACCCTCCTCCACCCCAACGTGCCCCTTCCTACCGTCCTGCTCCCAGTCTCCGCTACGGTTTGCGGTTTAAACATGCTCTCGACGCGGACGTCGTCAGTGTAGTTTGGCACCCACGAAGCGCGGGAGAGGATGGAGAGGGATTGGTCCGTCGGCGCGGGTGCGTCGGGGACGATCTGTTCGGGGCGGGAGGGAGGGGGACGGGAAGGCATGTCGTGTGAGTATTGGGCGAGAAGCATGGCCGGCGTAATATTTCTCTGTGGTTGGGGCGTCCCACCCGACGGATGCTGCGCCGCCAACCCCGGGTAAGCGGGGTTCCCCCCAGCAGCAGCGGCAGCAGCGAGTTGCTGCTGATGCCTCGCAAACACCTGAGCAGCTTGTTGTACCGGAATCCCCTGCTCCAACAACCTCTGCACAATACTCGGATCCGCCTGTAATCCCGGTGGCAGCTGCTGCTGTCCATCCCCAGCAGGCTGTAAAAGCCTCATATTCGGCGAACCCGCCGCCACACCCTGCCCCTGCAACCCCCTCGCTTTCCCAGCAGGGATATGTAAATTCGAGACATTGTTTATGGCGTTGAACCCCGCCACCGCCGGGGCGGACCCGGGGCGCATGATGGGGGTACCGTTTTGGAGGCCGACGTGTGGAGAGCCGGTCATTTGTGCTTGGGCGGCGGCTGCAGCTTGGGCGGCAGCTTGGGCTTGGGCGGCGGCGTGTGCTTGTTGGGCGGCTTGGACTTGGGCTTGTTGGGCGGCTTGCTGGGCGAGTTGGTTCTGGTTCCCACCCCCCGTCGCTCTGTTCCAAAGTGGGATCCACTGCGGGCTCTGTTCCCATCATCAGCCCCCCCCAAAACCACAAGAGAAAAGGAAAGGAAAGAAGAGGAAGGAGAACGTACAGCTTTAAAAGCCCCATCCCTCTCTTCATCACTCATATTCGCCAACCTCATCAACATCGCCTTAACACTCTCCACCTTATCCGGCGCTACGCGCGACATGGAAGGTTGGATATTGATCAACATCTGCTGTAACGACATCGGCGGTCTCGCCCCCGGCCTCGGACTTCCAAAACCGCCCGGGGACTGCCCCTGCCCTTGCCCCTGGGCTTGAGCTTGAGCAGCAATATGGGGCGACATGCCCATCATCCCGTTCTGAGGCTGTTGCGCCTGAGCCTGTTGCGCGGCGCGCGCAAGGGCAGCTTGGTTGATCATCGCCTGATTTGGCACCAACCCCTGGCCCCCCATCCCTGCCCGTCCTCCATTCTGCGCAGCCTGCATCTGCGCCGCCGCCAGCCTCTGCAACTGCAGCGCCTGCATCTGCTGCGGCGTCAGCTGATTCTGATTATGGTGCAACCCCGCGCCTGCGAGGTTTTGCGCGAACTGGGGAGCAAGTTGGTTTTGGAGAGATTGGGATTGGGTCTGGGGGTTGAGGGGGAAGGGTTGTTGGTTTTGCTGTTGTTGTTGCTGTTGTTGTTGCAAAGCTGCGAGCTGTTGTTGGGCAGCGAGGGGGAGCTGCATGTTGTTCATAGCGGGGGTTTGTTGGGGTTGGAGTCCGGCGGGATGGGCGACGGGGTTGGTCAGGCCGCGTTCTACTAGCAGACGAGCTTGGTGCGCTCGGAATTCTCGGAGGTGGTTTTGCCCATCCGGGCTCGACATGAATTGATCAAACTACCCCCCAGTCAGCAAGGCCCATCGGGAGGTTTGGGACAAAGATACTCACCAGCCGCTCTTGTTCCGGCTTCAGCTTCCCCTGCCTCTTCAGCTCCATAAGCTTTGGGAAATTGTCAATAAGCGTCTTGATCCCCTGCATCGGCAGCCCCACCGGCCTTCCCGGCGCGGTGCTGGGCGACTGGCGGATGACCTGCGGCGAGACGATCCCGCCGTGCGACTGGGGCGAAGCCGTGTTGATGGGCCCCTGCGGCATGGGCGTCATCGGCTGCGTTGGCCTGGGTGTGCCAGTGCGGCTTTGTTGGGCAGCGGCGGATTGTTGTTGGAGGCGGGATTGCATGGCGAGGTGTTGTTGTTGCTGCTGCTGCTGTTGGAGTTGGTGGCGGAGCTGTTCTTGGTACGCCTTGTAGTCCTATCAGTATGAAAGCTAGTGGGTATGGGAGGGGGGACACACGAGCTGGCTTTGGTTGACTGGGATCTTTCCATTCTGCATCCCCTGCTGCATCCCCATCATCGGGCTCTGCATCCCCATCCCGGCCCCTTGCTGCTGCATCTTATGCTGCCCCTGCGCCATAATCCGCGCCAGCATCTTGTCCCGAATCACTTCATTCCTCTTCTCTTCCGGCAAGAGCTTCTCTGCGTCTGTGAGGATGTCGGGGAGCTGGGTCTGGAGTTGGGCGAGTTTTTCGGAAGACATTTGGGCGAAGGAGGAGGCCATGTTGGAGCACGGGAGAACATAGAAAGGGAGAGGAATGACTGGTTTACTCTTTCTGTGATTATGACCTTTTCGATGCTACCATCGTTCTCAATCGTCATTCATTGTAGAGCTTCGAACATCCTTGCATTCGATGACCCTTGACTGGCGGTTCAATAATGTGGTTTTAAATTCACTATGCATGCTTGTACGACTTGCCTCAGATGTGCCCTTTTTGGCTTCAAGTCCCCCGCGACTCGCCCCTTTTGACGCGTCTTCTGCCATACCATCACTTGCTTTTTGTTGGCTTGAGTGACTTTTTGACGCGTTTTCTTTCTATCATTTCGCGTTTCTGGCCTTCTTCTTGGATTTAATCAAATCATCTACCAACTCATACTCAACTCATGCCACCCACTACACGCACCTCTACAAGGCTCTCCGCCGCTCAGAAACGCTCTCGACCTGATCCAG